CTTAGCATCCACTTCTCCACTCTCCTGCCACCAGCACCCAGATTCTGCTCCTCCATTATTGGCTGGGCAGTTTGCTGCAATGTTCAACAAGACTTTATAGAAAGTTCTGGAATAATGGCTGTCTTAGACTGGGTTCTGTGGAGAGGCAAAACCAGTGAAGCATATAGATATATATGTACGTATATATACGTATGTATGTATACAGACAGAGAGAGAAATGTATCTTAAAGAAATGGCTCATGTAGTTGTAGAGGCTGGCAATTCCCAAGTCTGTGGGTCAGGTGCCAGGCTGGAAGGTTCTCCTTACTCATGTAGCTGCAAGGGCTGATGAATCCCAAGATCGGCTGGTAAACTGCTAGCTGAAGTCCCAAGAATCAAGATCAGATGATGACAAGCCGGATGCAGGATCCAGAGCGAGCAAAAGCCAGTGAGCTTTGCCAGAAAGTCCATATATATTGGATACAGACCACACCCCCAAGGAAACTCCCTTTCGACTGATTGGCTGATCATAGCAGATCTCATCATGGAGGTGATTTATCATTACATTACTGCCAAACTACATTGGAACGGCCAAACCACTGAAAATCATCCCCCGGCCAAGTTGACGACGCACAATCTTAACCATCACAATGGCACAGAGCACAACCAATGGTTACCTCTAAAGGTGGCTGTGCTCAGAGCTCCTGGGCCTGGGGGCGGGGTCTCAGAAAGGGGCCTTTGAGCAAGTTTCCCTTTCATGAACCTCCCTTGTGGTCCCCAGAGAGAAAGATGGAAAAGCCCCTCTCCCCAGTCTAGTGGCAGCCCAAGTTCTCTTCTCCAGATGGTGGACAGCAGGAAGGCCAACTGCATTCAGAAGCACTGGCTCCTAACCAGGGCTTTTGATCCTCTGGGCCCAGGGAGTCAGTGTCAGGACATTCTGGGTAAAGCCTTCTGGCCTGAGCCCAGGGTGGGTCTCCAGAGGTCCAGTCCAGGTTTGGCCATCCTAAGCCCAAATACACTTCTTTCAGCTTCTCGCAGCGTCAGGCCATCCACAAGCAGTCAGCTTGGCAGCTGGCCTGTGGGTCTCCCTACATCACAGCTCCACATCATCTGTAAACTGCTTGAAGAAAAGCACACGTATTACTCAGTAATCCCAAACAAGAATCAAGTCTGGGAGGTGACGCTTCTTTTTAGATGTCCAAATTGCAGCCAAAAAAATTCTTTTTTTTTCCCCCAAAGAAGCGACACTTCTGAGGACAGTCCTCTGCTAGGAGACAGACCTGGTTTCTGGCTTCACACAATCCAGGTAACTTTCCGAAGCACCTGCCTAGAGGCTATTTCTCAGCTTTTGATCTCCCTAAGAAGGAGAGGTGGGGACTTGTTGACAACTGCACAACTCAACTGCTTATACAAGGTGTTCTCAAAAAAAAAAAGGGGCACCAGCCCACAGGTAAATTCAAGTCTCCATTCTTGGGAAGCAATTTACAATTTCTAAAGAAAGGTTTTTGGTTTTTGTCCTCTACCCCTTTCAGAATTTTAGGGTCTGGTTGTGGCCAATGCACCTTGTTACACAAGAAAGATAAGTTGGGGGACAAAATAGATTCTGCAGGTTCTGGGAGGTCATTGCAAACTTAGGTTACAGTGGGTGGACACAGGCACACATACTGTCTGGGTGGACAAAGTGGCACAAATAAGGGAGAGAGACAGCTACACCCTGGAGGGAATGAGGGGTGGGGGATGATGAGTCTGCTAAGGTGGGCCCAGGATGTGGCTTTGCTCCTGCAGTACCCCGATGTCTGCTCTGAAACCCTGGAATCTTCTGGCATGTCAGGTGGGCTCATTACCTGCAGGCGGTGCAAGAACAAAGCACAGCCATTCACTCGTTCATTTATTCTGTACAGATTGGACCACTTGTCTGTCTCTGGGAACGTAGCCAAAAGATGAATGAGTGAACAGATATGGTCTACCTTCGCACGGGGCCTGGGGCTGAGACAGGAGTCGGATATTAATTTAAACATGAATAAACACTGGCCCCAGGCCCAGCTGAAACCCAGACGCTTTGTGGTGCAGCAGGTCCCTGACTGTGTTCTAGAGCTCCAGTCAACAGCAAAAAAATGACCCTGGGAAGGCCAGACTTGCTTTTCATGACCCCAGACTGGCTCCCAGTGATGCTCTTCCCTAAGTATCCCCAACTCTAAATTTTGCTACAGCCTAAACTGCAGCTCTGAGGTGTGTGTACCTGGAAATCTCTTTTCTTAGCACCTGGCTGCCAGGAGTCCTTGTCTAGCCCTCAGATACCCCTGGGATCTCACCAGGGGTCCCCACACAACCTCCAAGCCTGCCTGGGAACACAAACAAGGCCAGGTGCTCACTGAGGCTCCACAGGTGTGGGTCATGCAGGGCAGCTACCCCACACATCCGCGCAGACAGCCGGCCAACAAGTCTGCGCCCCCGCCCCAGCTCAGCCAACGGTAACGTGGCCACACGGCCAAGTGGTGTGAAGCCTGGCGTAGGGCAGGGCGCCGCGAGGTGTGAAGAGCTGCGTGGGGCGGGGCGCCACGGGGGGCGGGGCTTCGGGCCCAGCGCACGTCCTCATTGGCTCTCAGGACTGTCTTCCATGCGAGGCGCCTGAGGCCGCCCCTGCGTGCTTCCGGCTTGGCGGGGGTGCTGCCTTGGCGGGAGTTGGCGGCCGTGTGAGGTGAGAGCGGCTGGGCGGCGCCGGAGCTGGGTCGGGTCAGAACCGGCCAGGAACTGTGCAGGGACCTTCCCGCTCCGGGAGCCGACCCTTCGGGAGCTGGGTGGCGGTGGGAAGCGAGCAGGCCGAGTGGGGCCTGCCGCCGTGCGCGTCCTCTGGGGTCCCCTGGTCTGAGGGGGCCCTGAAGAGTCCGGCCTTGCATCGCCCTCCGTCACCCCGGACCAGAGAGGGGCGTCCAGGACGGAAACTCGGCTCTGCCACTCAGGCACGCGCCTTTCTTCCATCTTGGGGCCTCTGGTGAGGGGCGCGTGCCCGAGGCCCCGGGCGGGCGGTGGAGGCCCAGGGGTTGTGCTCCCGTTGAGTCGTAAAGGAGAAGCTCTCCGCGAGGAGACGGAGGCTGGGGTTTTCTCCTCTGACCAAGGGCTGCGAACTTCGACGTGCCCGGGCGCCGGGCATCAGGCTGTGGCGGCAAGCTGGAGGGCGGCGGGGCCGGGCCCGCGGGACAGCGGCTGCCCCCGGGAGGCAGGCCCCGAGGAGCCGGGCCTCAGGTTCCTCGTCGCAGCCGCTGGAAGCCTTGCTTTTTTATGTAACCAGCTCCGTATTTTAAGTGTTAGCACTTATTCCTAACGCTTTAGAACATCGTATGGGCCAAAGAAAAGAACATGTATGTGAACTGAATTTGGCCCTCTGGCTGCCAGTTTGCGACTTCTGCTGTAGGGAGGGTGGTGGGGAACATCCAGGCAGGAGCTACAGACAGAAACCACTGCCGTCCAGCCGATTCTCATAGCGACCCTATAGAGCAGAGTAGGACTGCCCCGTAGGGTTTCCTAGGCTGTAATTTTTACAGGCTAGATCGCCAGGTCTTTTCTCCCTCGGAGTGGCTGGTGGGCTTGAACCAACGACTTTTCGGTTAGCAGCCAAGTGCTTAACCACTGTGCCACCAGAGATCCCCATTTTGGGGGCTTGGGTGCTAGAAAGATATAACCCAGAAATGACCTCCCGATTGTGTGAGCTGAGTCATTGACTTGGTTGGTGGATCAGGGTTACCCCTTGCCCTGTCTTTTCCTCTGCCCCTTTGGGGCTATCCCAGATCTAGTGGGGTTAGATGTTTGAGGGAAAGGTGATCTGAGTCTGGGGAGCAGCCAGCCATGCTCCTTACAAAGCAGGTGGGACTTCCCAGATTGCAGCTTCAGCTCGGGGGTACCCTGTGCCAGCTGTCGGTTGATGAAGCTATGAGAACATTTTCAAAGTAGGGAGTGTATGTGGAATGAGCCTCTCAGGGTTTGTACACTTCAGACTCCTTTATTGCTTGACATAATGGTTAATGGTTCTAGATTGTGCTAATTGGGGACCGTGAGGGGATACTCAGAGGAATTCCGGGATATGGAAGTACAGCAGTCAGTGAGCCCTTCCTGGGTCCTTCCTGTGCAGGGCAGACTGCTGGGGCATAAAGAGATGGGTCAGTTGCAGTCTTTGCCCTCTGGATGCTTTCAGGGAGGTGACATCTCAGCCTTGGAGGTGGGCTTCACATGGCTCCTTGCCCTGCAAGCTTGGGCTGAACCCAAAGAGGAGAGGGAGAACCTAGAGGTTGATCAGAGGCCTCGTGGACTGAGAGCAATGGGCAGAAGTTGGTGGGTAGTGAGGAAAGGAGAAGGTACTCCCAGGTGGGCATATGCATATTGGGGTGGGCGTGGGGATAACGTAAATAATTGGACCAGCCTATTGGGGAGTCCTGCTCTGTCACACGGGGTCACTATGAATCAGAAGCAACTCAGTTGCACCCAACAATAGCAACCCATGAGGGACATGGTGAGAGATCAGGGCAAGAGGGGTTTTTCAGGGCCTAATAACTGGGGTGTTGTTCAGTGCTATTGTATGGGAAATGGATGTTTGTTCAGGAGAATGTTGTGTTGGGCAGGAGGTATCTGAGGAGATGCCACATGGGGTCTCCTGTGGTGAGGGCTGTATGGGGGGGATAGTTGTGGAAGTGTCTCATGCCCAGCCAGGTGAGCACTCTGAGTGGCATTTCTCTGTGTTCTACTCTCCAGCTGCCCCCTAGCTAGTACCTGGCATACATCCCTGTAATGAGGGAGTCGGTGAAGGGCTGCCCGGCAGAGAGAGGAAGAACAGCTGAGCCAGCCTGGGGCCATGTGGTGCTGGTTCTGTTCTGCCCTGACAGTCCCGTTCCTCTTTCCTGCCAACCTCTGTTCCCTTGTCCGTTTTCTCTGCACAGAAGGGGCCTGGGTCTCAGCACTGCCCTGTCTTTGACGGGAAGTGGCAGGGTAGTTGTTGATGGTGGGACAACTGATCCCCCTCGTGTTGGCCTGAGGGAGCCCCTGACCTGGACCCTGTGAGACCTCTTGAGGACAGCTGGCTCCTTGGTAGGACCATCGTGGGGCTGGGGTGGGGATTTGATTTGGGCCTGTTTCCCAGCTTCTAGCCAGGTTCTCCTCATCACTTTCAGCTTGGGTATTGTCTGTCTGTCCTGGGGTTAGGGGCTTGGGGATCACCCCAGGGACCTTGGACTATGGCCCAGACTCCAGGCCATCCTTCTGCCTGTCCCCAGGTCAGGTTCCTGTGGAGAGAGGCAGAAGCAGCTGGTTCCCAGATCTTCTAGTCCTCATGGACGCCATGTTGGGAGCCAGGGTCCAGACCCAGCAGAACAAGAGGACTAGACACCACAGCCATGAGGTAGTGTGGTACCTTCCCATCCCCAGAACACGCTCTCCTGTCACCCCCCCCCCACCCCTCCTGTAGCTTGGTTGGGCCCCCACTCCTGGAGCCTCCCTCTCTCTACCAAGAACTTTCTGTCCTCTCAACCTCTGCCTGTGGCCCTTTTCCAGACCAGCCTGTGGTCCTCAGGTTTTGGGATGAAGCTGGAGCCTATCACCCCATTCCTGGGGAAGTATCGTCCCTTTGTGGGTCGCTGTTGCCAGACCTGTACCCCTAAGAGCTGGGTGAGTGATGGTAGGGCCAGGCCCCACCCTGGGGAGTTTGGGGTAGTTTGGCTCTGGGAAGCCGCTTCCTTTATGTCCTTTCAAACTCTGGCCCTCCCCTGCCCCGTGCCGCTGCTCTTGTCTTCCAGGGTAACAGATGCACTGGTATTGGTGTGTTGTTGGGCTGTGGCTGGCTCCCCAGCCCTGGGAGAGTTGGGTGGGGACGTGCAGAGGGGCCTGAGAAGGTAGTGCATGACCAGAGTGTTGGCGTCTGTCCTGTGTCTGCACGAGTGCTGGTATTGTTTCGGGGACACTCGCCCACTCACAAACGTCCACAGCACCCAGCCCATTTGAAGGCTTCTTGTGCGTCCATGCCACATGCTGGTGCTGATGGGGCCAAGGGTTCTGGTGGAGATCCAGGCTGTGTGTCCTCTGCTGTTGAGACTGGTGAGAGGGACAGCGTTCACACAGTCACAGTGTGCGGAGCTAAGGGGGAAAGTAGACGTGTGTTGAGTACAGAGTACCCAGAGGAGGCAGTGAGGCCTTTGTTGAGGAGGGCCCTGAAGGATGAGAGGATGTGTTCCCCTGGCAGAGAGGGGAGAAGGGGAATGGTGTGTGTGTGTGTGTGTGTGTGTGTGTGTGTGTACATGCACTCACGCACGCCAGCGAACATTCTGTACACGTGATGCAGGGGTAGCTGTTCCTTTGTTTTCTCCAGTTCTACAGGATATGAATCAATATTACCCCCCAAAAAGGTTCCGTGATCAGAATAAATTTGGGAAAGCTGAGTTAAGCAAAGTTGTAAAGGCCTCTTTCCTGCAGGACTTTTCAGAGACTTTAGTATGCTACTCTCCAAGAATGTGATTCTGTACAGAATGCAGTGCTTCCTATTTTGACCAGGGAACCCTTTTTTCCCGAGCCAGTCTTTAGGAGCTGGGGTTGAACATCTTTTGGGAAGTGCTGTGATAAAGCCCTGTCTCTTGGTACACCTGATAGACTCAGGCAAAGACTAGAGGGGTGGGGCAGGGGCGTGCCTTTGCAGGTCTGTGAAGGCGTCCCGGACATGCCATCCCTCCTCTCTCGGGCAGGAGTCCCTCTTCCACAGAAGCATAACAGACCTAGGCTTCTGTGATGTGATCTTGGTGAAGGAGGAGAACACCAGGTAGCCAGGGCTGGGGGTAGGGGGGCTGAGGGCTTGCTGGGTCCCTGCTTTGGTGCCATTTTCTTCTGAAGGAAAAAGAAGGGCCCGTGTCCTGTGCTGCACACCCACAGGCCAGGGAGCCAGGCTTGGTGCTCGCTTACCCTCTGGATGTCAGGCCCTGAACCCCACCCACTCAGTGGGGAGAGGGGTGGGAATGGGGCACAGGCAGGTGATTCGGCTTCCTGCTTTGTGATGAGCCAGACTCAGGCATTTCTGGAACTGGATCCTGGCGTGTTCCTGGGGTGGGGTCCCGTCCTGCTTAGATAGCCCTCTTTGGGCCCTGGTGTGTTGTGGGGGTGGTGGGGGCTCTCGCTAAATGCTGTCCCTGCTGGCTTTGGGGACTGTGCCCAGGTTTCGGGGCTGGCTGGTTCGGAGGCTCTGCTATTTCCTGTGGTCGATGGAACAGCATATACCCCCCTGCCGGGATGCCCCGCAGAAGATCATGGAAAGCTCTGGGTAAGGAGGTAGAGACTGGGCTCTGGCTGGTACTTCTGGGATCCTTGAAGAGATGGCAGAGGCTCCAGGCAGGGGTGGCTGAGGGGCCGGTGGGGAGAGGCTCCTAGAGGGATAGCTTGGCTTGGGCCCTTCCTTAAAGATCATGGGGAGGATGGAGGGTGAAGATGAGAGGCCGGGCCCTGGGGAGGTGGTGGGACAGAGGGAAGTGACCTGAGAGGCCTTGGGCACCTCAGCAGGTGGGCCAGAGTGAGAGCCTGGCCTGCCTCAGCCTGACTACCCCCCATACCACAGGGTGCAGAGGATCATCTCAGGGAGGGCCCCGGGAGGGGCTGGGGAAGGTCAGGTGCCAGGTCTTGTGAAGAAGGAGGTACAGCGCATCCTGGACCACATCCAGGCTCCACCCCGCCCCTTGCTTCTCAGGTAACTGTGCTGATGGACACTCGTCCATTGAGGGGGCTCTGCCCTTCTGGAGAGTCGGGGGCGGCTGGGCTTGAGGAAAGGCAGGACTGCACTTCTGTAGGAGCCGGATGGCACGTTTACCAGAGCGGGCAAAGACCGCTGTCACCACCTGCCTCCCTTCCCACTGAGGGGAGGGGGTCACCACCGTGTGCTCACGCAGCACGTCCCTGAGCTGTTAGGTGCAGGGCACTGTTGAGGGGACAGAGGTGGTACGTAGAGTGCACTGAGGTACAAACAGCTGCAAGAAGGAGGAACAAGAAGCTGAAGCTCCGAATACCTGGGGCGGTGAGGGGTTGGGGGGGAGACTTGTAAACCAGGCCTGAAGGAAGGGAAGGAGCCTGCCTTGGGGGAGCAAGGATGTGGGGAACAGTTCCTAATAGAGGGACTTGCATGAGCTAAGGTCCCTGGGCAGGAAAGGGCTCGGTTTGTTCTAGAAGCTGAAAGAAAGCTGATGTAGTTGGAACCTGGCAAAGGAGGGAGAGAGCTGTTTGAGATGAAACCGAGAGGCAGAGGGAGCACCTCGCGGGGGGCCATAGAAGTTTGGATTTGATGTCTAAAGTGCAGTGAAAACCAGGTGGAAGGCATTGAGCGGGGAGTGACAACATGATGGACTGGGGTCAGGAGCGGAGACCAGGAGACCATTTGGGAGGCTGTTCTGTTAGTTTAGGTGAGACGTGATGATAGCTTGGATAGGGTGGTGACAGCAGAGATTGAAAAAAGTGGCTTGAGAGATGAAGGTGAAATAACCAGACTTGCTGAGGGATTGGATGGTGGGGTGGGGCAGTGAGGGGAAGAGAGAAGGCACGGCGAGCTGGATTTCTGGCCAAGCAGCTGTCGATGTACGCAGAAGAGACAGGCTTGGGGAGGAGCGAGGATGTCCTGGTCCAGGAAGGGGGTTTTGGACGGAAAGAGTTTCGGATACCTGACATGCTCACAGAGACTCGGAGTAGGCAGTAGCACATGTGAGTCTGGAGTTGGAAGAGAGGCTGGAGCCAGGGGTACACATTTACAGAGGCTTAGCATACCGATGTTTACAGCCGAGGGAATGGGTGAAGGCGCCAGGTGAAAGAGAGCTCAGGACTGCTTGTCGAGGTTAGCCGTCTTGCAGGTGCTGAGGGATGGCCTAAGCAAGGACAGGAGTAGAGGTTGCTGGTCCCTCACCCAGCCCTCCACGGCCACGATTCTTTGCCTTTGTTGAGACTTCAGTTCCTGGACCTGGCTGACCCCCTTTACACCAGCCATCAGGCCCTTCCCGTCTTTCCTTCCCTCCCGCCTAGCTTAGATTCCACAGTTCATCATGAGAACAGTGCCCTTGTGATGGGTCACTGGGCAGAAGCCCAGTTGTGTTTGAACACAGATGCCTACCTTCTCTGTACATTCATCTAAGCTGCCAAACATCATTAGAGAAAAATACAGCCGGGTAGACCAGTTTCCTTTACAATTGCAAATCTCAGATGGGCACACGGCATTCCACTGTTGACTGATGTCCTCATCCCATGCTTCCTGGAGAAGTAGAAGCCATCGGATGAGGACGGGCTGCTTATCCCACCACATCTCTGTCCTAACTGCATCAGCATGGTCCTCTTCCTGCCTCCAGTTAAAGCTGATCTCCCCATCGGGCCTCTGGACAACCCCTCTCCCCAAGGACTTTGCTCTTTCGGTTATCCCTGTTCCTTCTGGTATCACTGAGCCCTCCCTTTTTATTCCATCTTTCCCAGTGGTTTGCAGAGGTCAGGCTGGGTTATGACCTGAGAGTGAGCGTCTTGGTCCTCTGATTTCCTTTGTGGTAAATGGTGGCGGGGAGATGCTCTGAGGCTGACAGGAGGCAGCTGCACTCTGAGGTCTTGGGAGAGAGCATGTAGCCTAGCAGCTGTATGATCTGGTGTCAGGCCAGCACCACTTCTCGGTTTTCTCTACTTTTAAGCTATTTCTTTGCCCTTTCTGAGTTTCCCTTTCCTCTTCTGTAACATGGGGGGAGAACAGCCCCTGCCTCAGAGGACTGCTGGTCAGCGGGTGCTGTGGGGCTATGCCTGTTGGATGGTGACAGGTCGGGCGTTGCTCCCCAGGCTGTTCAGCTGGGTGCTGCTGCGGCTCCTGAACTGCCTCTTCTTGAACGTGCAGCTCCACAAGGGTCACATGAAGATGGTTCACAAGGCCGCCCAGGCGGTAAGGCCGCCCTCCACTGGGACTGGGGTGGCGGGAGCAGAAGCTTGGCTAAGCCCTAATGTCAGGACCAGCCCCATCAGCCGGTGGGAAAATCCTCTGCTCTTTAACGACCTCCTTGTGGGTCTCACGGTCCTGCTCCCACGGGGCCACCTCTAACGTCTCTTCATCGTGCTCTTAACAACCCTTATGTCACTGTATTACCTTGACAATTGTTGAAAAGCTCTTCTTGTGGGAAATGTACTCAGAATAAGAAGTGTTCCACTGAACCCTCTCCCTCTGGGGCTGCCCAAAGTGTGGAGGCTGCTGGGTGTCTGCCCCCGTCTTTAGGGTGGGGGCAGACTGGCGCTCCCTTTGCCTGTCCTGGGAGCAGGGCTCGCCGCTGGTCCTCCTCTCCACCCACAAGTCTCTGCTGGACGGGATCCTGCTGCCCTTTGTACTGTTCACCCAGGGCCTGGGCGTGCTTCGAGTGGCTTGGAACCCCCACACCTGCTCCCCTGCCCTCAGGTAAAAGCCTTGGGCCTCTAGACACACATGGGGGAAGTCCCTAGGCTGGGACAGGAGTACATGGGGGTGTGTATGGGGAGCTGCAGCTCCCCACAGGCCCTTTTTCTGGCCTCTTTGCTCCCAGCCTCCTTCAGTCTGTGGGGCTCCGATGGAGGGTCAGCTACGGGACGTAGGGCTGTGCCTGGACTTGGGGTGTTCATACAGGACCAGGCTGGCTCTCGATGGGCCACGGTTGTCACTGACCTCCTGCTCGCTCCCATCTCTGGAACCCCTTTCCTCACCAAGTTCTGCCCTGTGCCCCCAGAGCTCTGCTGAGGAAGCTAGGGGCGCTCTTCCTGCCTCCGGAGGCCAGCCTCTCCCTGGACAGCTCCGAGGGGGTCCTTGCTAGGGCTGTGGTGCAGGCGGTAAGTGCCCCCAGTGGTTGTGGAGGGGGTGGGCCAGGGGTTCAGGGGTCTGTGTCTGATCTGGCCTTGACACCCCCCCACCCCCAGGCCATAGAGCAGCTGCTGGTCGGCAGGCAGCCCCTGCTCATCTTCCTGGAGGAGCCCCCTGGGATCCGGGGGCCGCGGCTGTCAGCCCTAGGCCAGGCCTGGCTGGGAGCAGTGGTGCAGGCGGTCCAGGCGGGCATCGTCCCGGATGCTGTGCTGGTACCAGTGGCTGTCACCTACGACCTGGCTCCAGACGCTCTGCCTGACGTACACCACGTGAGACCCTCCTGCCCCTCGGGACCCCCAAGTGGACACCAGCTGCAGACAGGAGGCCCAATATGGCATCCTGTGGTTGAGCGCCCATAGGGCTGGGGTCAGGAAAGGGTGCAAAGCATCTGCTCCCTGTGGTCATCCTCCTGCAGCACGTGCCAAGGCCGCTGTGGTCATTGTCTCATTTAATCTTCCAAAGATCCTGTGAGGGAGGGTTGCTCCTGCTTCAGATCGGGCCCGAATGAAGTCGAGCAGGCTGGGACCAGAGGGTGCACCTCTGGAGGGCGGGATGGCGTTGGCAGCCCTGATGCTGTGAGCATGGCCCATACGTACCAGCACGCTAAGCCTCTCCTGCCCTACAGGCTTCGACCCCACTGGGGCTGTGGACAGGGGCCCTGGCCGTCCTGCGGAGCCTGCGCAGCTGTTGGGGACGCAGCCACCGGGCCTGTGTCCGTGTGCACCTGGCCCAGCCCTTCTCCCTGCAGGTAGGGAGCCAGTCAGGCCAGGCTGGGAATACTTACTCTGAGCTCCAGGTAGTCTGTTCTGGGGCTTCTGGCGGCCTGGCCCCCAAAGCCTCTGAAGGGCTAGCCCCGCCCTCCTCAGGTGGGCTGTGTGCGGGTGACCTGGTGGGCCAGGGCAGGCCACCTGAGGGGGAGCCTTGTCCTGGGCAGGAGTACACCGTCAACGCCAGAAGCTGCTGGGGCAGCAGGCAGACCCTGGAGCAGCTGCTGCAGCCCCTTGTGCTGGGCCAGTGGTAGGAGCAGGGAGTGGGGGGCTGGGGCCTGGGGCCACCCTCCCGTCCCAGCTGTGCAGCTGACAGCCCCTCCCCCAGGCCGCCTCGCTGTCTCACACACACATACCACACAGACACACACATCCACACACCACACACGTACATCACACACGTACACCACACACACATAGACACACACACACCACACACGTACATCACACACGTACACACCCCACACACACCCCACACACACCACACACGTACACACCACACACACACCCCACACACATACACAGACACACACCATACACACGTACACACGCACACCCCATACACATACACACACACCACACATGTACACACACACGCACACCCCACACACATACACAGACACACACACACCACACACGTACACACACACGCACACCCCACACACATATACAGACACACACCACACGTACATCACACGTACACACCACACACACCCCACACACATACACAGACACACACACACCACACACACGTACACACACATGCACACCCCACACACATACACGTACGCACACACGCACACCCCCCGCCACCACAGTTCCGACGCACACACGTCACCAGTTCCAGCCTCTTCCCTTGCCAAGTACCTTGGGTCGTCCAGCGGGAGAGTCCCAGGCGTCTCTCCCTGCTGTGATCTCGGTGTGGGACGTGGTACACTAGGGCTGGGGTGGGGAAACACCCTTACCTTGGAGAAGGTCTGCGGAAAGGAGGTCTTGTTTCTAGGTTTGGTCCCTTTCTCCTGTCCCGTGTCTTTATCCCAGGACCGTTGTCCCAGACACTGAGAAGGAGCAGGAGTGGACCCCAGTGACCGGGCCCCTCCTGGCTCTTAAGGAAGAGGACCAGCTCCTGGTCAGGAGACTGAGCCGTCATGTCCTGAACGGTGAGGGTGACCTGGTCCCTCAGCGGTCCCTTCTCTGTCTGGGCCGGCCAGTTGTCAGGTCCTCCGTTCAAGTGGGTTTCCGCACCGGGTCTGCCCTCCCTGTGCGGCACACTTGGAAGGGACATCAGGGGAGAGTGGAGCCCTTCTCGGCCTGAGGAGCATCCTCCTTCCTGTGCAGGCAGCCAGGGAGGGCGCAAGGGGCTGCAGCCAGGGAGGGCGCAAGGGGCTGCAGCCAGGGAGGGTGCTAGGGGCCGCCGAGGGAGGGCGGGCAAGGGGCTGCCGCCAGGGAGGGTGCGAGGGAGGGCGGGCAAGGGGCTGCCGCCAGGGAGGGTGCGAGGGGCCGCCGAGGGAGGGCGGGCAAGGGGCTGC